ACTGCTTGAGCCACATCCCCAGCCCCCCCCCCTTTTTTTTTAAATATTTATTTTTTTATCTTTTAATTTTCAGCGGACACAACATCTTTGTTTGTATGTGGTGCTGAGGATCGAACCTGGCCGCACGCATGCCAGGCGAGCGCGCTACCACTTGAGCCACATCCCCAGCCCCAGCAGTAGGTACTTGAAAGTCTGATGTTATTGAGATGGCGGATGGGGGTGGCAAAAGGATAGTCAGTGTAGGTAATAAATAATTGTGTCTGCTCAGAAAAATGGGGGCCGATTCAGGGGTAAAGAAATAAAACACTGATGCCCCAAGAGCTCTTTCCCCTCCTCCACCAGTTGCCAAGGTTACCTGCCCCCAGGGAATTGATCCTCCCTGCAAGGGGCTGTTAATGAATGCCTCTGGGTAGCCCTTAGATCTCTCCACCTTTTGGTCACTAATCATGTAGTCTGGATGGGGGAGGAGAGAGAATGAGAATAAAGGAAATCTAAAATCATAAAAGGGGCAGGACACCCCCACTTCCTTGGACACCCAGCTCTGGGGCCCCTACTCTGCACAGAAGTCTATCTCTGTTCTATCCTTTAAATAATTGCCTAGGCATTTCTTGGGTGTTCAGTCTTCAACATTCTGGAGAAATTGAAAGGATAAAAGAAACTGAAGTTAAAGACCAGGCATTGTAAAGCTTCTAAGCTGCAAAGCCTGAGTTAAAATGTAAAAGACCAGGTATTGTTAAGTTCCTATGCTACACTCAGAACCTGAAATTCCTGTAGCTGTTAGGACAATTCACGGGACTGCCCAGTAGATATTCCCCCTGACCATTTAGTTGTTAAATAACCTGGGTCCTGTGCAGTTTGGCACATAGGCATTCAGGGCCCAAACCAATCAGTTTAAATGTGTACCCCGCTTTAGGACTAACCTACCACCCCCACACGACCTGTTCCCGCCAATGAATGTACTAATCATGTTCGAGAGTTGTTCGATTTTCCCGCACCTCATGATGATTTGCTCTGATGTATGCAAAGCCCCCGCCCTCCCCAAAAAGTGTACTTAAGCACTGCTTAACCCCTGCTCGGGGCTCTTGGCTGCTCTCCCTCCTTGAATGAGCACGGAGCCCCAGCATGCTGGATCCTCAATAAACCCCCTTTTGCGGTTGCATGAGTCGGTCTCTTGGTGGTCTCTTCCTCCGTCATTCGCCGGACCCTTATATTTGGTGCTTTGGCCAGGAAACGCGCAGCGCCGGACAAGGAGACCCTAACGGACTCCTCTAGGGGTATGTAAGGTGCCTTTTTCCTTTTTCTTGTGATCGCTCAGGTCAGGTTCGGTTTAAGGGTTGGCAGAGTGGCTGCTGGCGGAGAGTGTAAGCTCCCCCCGGCAGTGGTGGACAGACGTGTCCTGAAGCCACAGGCCACGTCCCCAAGGGACGCCTTGGAGGACTCAGGAAACAGAGGGACGGAGGTGCCCTCATCAGGTGTTCAGGTGTGATTCAGTGACTCTGCTGCCAACCCATCAGGTTCTGCCAGCTACTTTAGTCTTGTTCATTGTCTCGTGTTGAGTTTACTGTCTGCCTTTAGGGTACTCGTGTTAAACATTTACTGTTTGTCCTTGTCTGTGTCACGTTTGTATTGTCCCTGTCTTTGCCTGAGTAACTCCTATTATGGGACAAAGCCATTCCACGCCTCTGTCCCTGACCCTTGATCATTGGACGGAGGTCCTCTCAAGGGCCCAGAATCTTTCTTTTTCAGTGAAACGCCGGATCTGGCAGACACTCTGCGCTTCAGAATGGCCTACCCTCGGAGTTGAATGGCCCCCAGGAGGGTCCTTCCACCTCCCTCTAATCCGCAAAGTCAGAGATATTGTCTTTCAGCCAGGGCCGCATGGCCATCTAGATCAACAGCCATATATTTTAACTTTTCTCAAAACCCTGTCCTCATTATTAAATTGGCATTAATTGGCTTTGGGGATGGGAACCGAACTTTCAGTCATAAATTCTGTCCCAGACCGAGATTCTACACCAAGGTAAGTGCACGCACCCCATGTCTGTTTGAGGTGCATCTTTCTCTCTCTTTCTTTCTGGAGGTAAGGTGGGCACCTGACGGCTACTTACACGCAATTAGTGCAGCCGCCACTCTTCAAGACTCGGGTGAGAGGTTTCCCGGCCTAGGCAGCTCTCAATCACCTGTTCTATACAGAGCAGGCATGTTGGGTTCTGCCAAAGCCGCTTCCAACTTTTCTGTCTGGGCCCGGAGAGCAATTGGTGTGAGTACACAGTGTCCCGAATCCCGATCTGCCTTGGATGCGTGGAGGTGGATGAAAGAGTTTGGAACAACTGTGGAATTCTGGTCTGGGCTACACTCAGACGTATTCCTAAGGTCCTTTCTCTTGAGCCCCCTCACGACAGCCCTCAGGGGTATCTAGGGTGATCAGTAGATGAATGGCACTGAGGGAAAGCCCCAATCACATTTGCCTCCATATGGGCTACGCAACACTCCCAACCTCGCATCCATTCCTCCTGGATGCTCCCCTTCCTTCTCAGGTCAGAAATGTTAGCAATTCAGGTTGTAGGACTGAGAAAGACATAAGATAATTAGTAAAATCTGCCCAGGTTCTCTAAGGTGCATAGGTAACTTTCAATAGTCTGTTTTACCGCCCCAATGTTTAAAATGTGCTATGTTCCTTAAGCTGCTAAGAGAGGCATTTTTAGAAAAAAAAAAGAATCAAGAGAAAAATTTGGGCCGATCAAAGTACATACCCCCTTCCCCCTTCAAGACCTAAGGCAGATAAAAACTGACTCTACTGGAAAGTTAGGAGATATGCCAGATTGCCTGGGATTGGATCTATCCAAAGGGGCTAATCCTGTAAGTAAAAGGTGAGACTGAGGAATTTCCAGCAGCTGCCAAAGTCATTTTCACTCTGGGGAATTTCCTCATTCTTTCCCTGCACTGTAAGGATTACTCCACCTGAATGCAGTAAAATCAGTCACACTGAGACCCTTGATTTTACACCTATAGTTGCCCCTATGTGAGAACATCTGGTCCACTCATGGAGAAATCTATGGTGCCACTGATAGGAGTCATAATTAAATGGGAGTTAAAAACCTGGAGAGATTTTTCTCTTATCTGGTCTGTCTGTTTTGATTTTTATTGTAACAATTTGGTATCTAAATGAGTTTGAAGCATTGCATAATCTTGCAGTTAAAAATTGGGTTTAAGTAATTGTTTAGTTTGAGATTTCAGATAGTTCATGCTAGAAAACTTAAATACTTAGGATAAAAAAATTAAAAAACTCTACTTCCAAGTTGGCAAGTAACTCCCAATCATTTGGTTTTATTTTTTCATCAATTTTTGAACTGGGTAGCCTGAGAAGATTTCACTAGGTGTACCAGTGCATTAACTTGGGCAAGGATAATAAATTATGATATGGTATCTGTTCCCCTCAGTGTGTAAGATTTAGAAAAAAAAAGAAAAAAAAAGGTGTTAAATTAAAACTGTGGTCTGGTTTATTGAAATGACATTAATTAGCAACAGTCTTGGGAATTTTCAAAGCTTAATTTTGGATATACATGGTAGTGTGTGGTTCTCTTTTAAAATTTTTCAGGTGATTTAATGTAACTTAATACTACTTTAGGAACTTCAGAACAAAGGAAGCAGCTTAATGATCCTGAAGGAACTTCTTCTGATGGTGGCTTTTATATTACCAAGAAAGATCCTATTTTCAGTTTTGTGTGAGCAAATTTTTCTAGTGTAGAAAAATATAAAGATATAAAATTTTGAGAATTGCATCTTAAACTTGTATCATAATTTTCAACATCCAAACCTGAAAATTATGACGTATGGTTAAAATGCTGTAGGCATGAGGTTTCTGCTCAGAGTTCCAGTCTTCCCAGTTCCTTCGAGACCTTAGCCAGTGTGGAGAGCCATTCTCACGCGTGACTGGGCGACTCCCGGTTTGGGTCTGAGGTGTTCTGGCTGTGTTGGAACTTTCCCGGCCCTCTCCTGATGAGAGAACCCGTCCGTGTGGGGGTGTGACTGACCACTGACCCCGGGGGCCCAATCACTGACCCTGACCTTGGAGTGTGGCCCCCCCTCAACCTTCATTGGATGGAATTATCCCCTGAATTTCTTGTTCCCCAATAAAAGGCTACTCCCTGGCGTGCTCGCTCTCTCTCTGTCCTGCTAGCCTTGAGTAATCCTTGCTGCCCTACGGGTGGTTCGAGGTTGGAGCCAGAGAGGGGAGCTGTCTCGGACCTGGTCATAGAAAAAGGTAACTGAGTCTGTGTGTTTTATTTCGATCTCTGCTAGCTAACTTTTATGCCAAGAACCTCATTAATGAAACCAATGTGCAGGCCGCATGGTGGAATTGGTGCCCATGAGGGGGGCATTCTAGATTAGCTAGATTGAGTGGGAGCGTGCTATAAAGATAAGATAAAGGAAGTGGTGACAATTTAGAGTCACAAAAGTACCTGAAGATATTGAAGGAAAGAGACGTTAAATTAATTAAAATGGGAAATTCAACTTCTACGGATAAGGAAATGTATCTGACTATTTTAGACAGTATAATTAATCAGAAAGGAAAACAGATAAAGAAAGCTCAGTTATTACAATTCTTAAAGATTGTAGGTGAATATTGTTCTTGGTTTTGTGAACAAGAGTCTCCAAATTTATCTACTTGGGAGAAATTAGGAAGAAAGTTACAAAAGGTTTATTTTTCTAATGAACTACCTGGAGGCATAGAAAGTATTCAGAAAACTTGGACGGCACTGGAAGTTTGTCTTTTTGAGTATATGGGCCAAAGTTCGTGGCCCCCTGAAGACCTGTTAAAAGGCTTGCAGAGGGCTATTAAGTCTATTCAAATGGAAAATCCGCCTGAGGCTAAGTTAATTCCTTTTCCCTTAAGCCGTTTAAAAACAAAGACGCTAGGGGCCAAACCAAAGGTTAGGAATGTGACCTTCAACTTGCAAGACCAGGCTAGCCCCCAAGGAGATTCTAGGGACGAATATCATAGAGGACAAACCTCCGAAATCCTAGAAAGCCCTCCGGAAGAGGTAGAGGATGTTCCTGCAGAGGAAAATCTGGAAGAGATTCCTAGAAGGGCTCAGAGTTCTTCTCAGCCACGTGGCTTAGAAGCCCAAATTCAAAATGGCGATAGTGCAGAGTCTGACCATGGCTCACAATCTGAGGGAGAAGAATCAGACTTTGAAATTCAGGACTTACAGAGAAATCTTAACAGGCTGCGTTTAACACCGCCTGCCCAGGCTATTCGAATTCGGCCGGTACCTGCTAAAAGGACAAAATTTAACAGGTACGCTGGATTAACAATGACTTTTCTTACCCCGTTCCAACGAGGTATTAAGAAAGCACAGGAAGATGGGGAGGATACTAGCAGTTTTCAACTTTTTCCTGTTTTTGAGCAAGTTAATGAGCAAGATCAGAGAGTTAGAGTTCATGCTGTAATCCCATTTAAGACCATTCAGGAACTAAAAAATGCATGTGAGACGTATGGTCCAAATTCGCCTTTCGTACAGAGCCTGATAGAAAATATTTGCTCGCAGACCCTTCCTCCTAGCGATTGGATTTCTTTAGCCAGATCCTGTCTGAGCGGGGGAGATTTCTTACTCTGGAGAACTTATTGGACTGATTTTTGTACTGAACAGGCAGAAAAGAACAAAAGACAGGATATAGAAACACCAATAGAGATGTTTCTAGGGACCGGTGATTTCGCTGATTTAGAAAGACAGTTAAATTATGATTTTGTAGTATACAATCAAATAACTGATTGTGCAAAACGTGCTTGGAGACAGATCGTCTCTAAGGGCCAATCCAATTTAGTTCTTACCAAAATCAGGCAAGGTGCGAGTGAACCTTACTCAGATTTCGTAGCCCGATTGTACCAGGCTGCAAACAGGTCAATCGGGGACTCAGGAGCAAGTGAGTTCATTGTTAGGCAACTGGCATTCGAAAATGCAAATAAGTATTGTCAAAATGTTCTTAGACCGCACCGTAAAAAAGGGACAGTTTCCGAGTTTATTCGCTTATGTTCTGACCTGGACTCTACCCATTTACAGACAGTAGCCCTAGCCGCAGCACTAAAGGAAACTTTGAGTCCACAAGATTTAGTTCAAAAACCCTGCGGGAGATGTTACGTTTGTGGGAAAAATAATCATTTTGTGCACGAGTGTCGCATGCGCGATTTTAAGTTCAGGGCTCCATAGTCTGGCGATAATAGATATTGCAGGGCTCAGCCCCATGTGGTAGATCCAGATGGCGCGGATGAGCCCGCCTTCTTGTCATCATTTCCGCCTGGCCGAAACACAAACTTCCGGTCGGCCCGCCCCTGGGCCGAGAATGAGGAAGTAGGTGATGGTTGCGCAATGTGACGTCATCGCACCTACCGTGGGGGCCGCCATCTTTGATTTTACCGGAGCGAAACAAGCAGTTTCCGTACAAACCCCTAATAATTTTCAAGGCTTTTAGGAGATATTAATTGGCTGAGGCCATCCCTAAAACTAACTACTTCTGAGTTAAGTCCTTTATTTCAGATATTACAAGGAAATCCCTCTCCAACCTCTCCATGCCAGCTGTCCTTAGAGGCTAGAACGGCTTTAAGGAGAGTTGAACATGCAGTTAAAAATGCACAGCTTACTAGAGTTGATCCTAAAGAAATAGTGTATTTATTAATATTTCCAACTGAACATACCCCAACAGGAGCCATATGGCAAAGATTAGGAGTTATTGAGTGGATTTATTTATCCCACTCTCCTCAAAAAACATTAATTCCTTTTCATGATTCTATAGCTCAATTAGTAATTAAAGGTAGAACTAGGATTTTACAATTAATTGGATCTGAGCCTGATATCATAATTATTCCATTTTCTGTTCAACAGACTAATTGGCTTTTTCAAACTTCTAGTTCATGGCAGATAGCCTTTGCTGATTTTCCTGGCCAGATAGATAGCCATTATCCTCGTGATAAGATTATACAATTTGCATCATTAACGTCACTTATTTTTCCAAAGATTGTACGTGCACATCCTATAGATGAAGCTTTATTGGTGTTCACGGATGGTTCTAACTCAGGTAAAGCAGGTTTTTATAGTCGTGTTCACACAGAGATAATACAAACTTCTTATACTTCTGCCCAAAGAGCAGAGCTTCAAGCTCTGATTTGTGCCTTTAATTACTTTTCTAATGAGCCTATTAATATTTATTCTGACAGCTTATATGCAGTCAAAGTTACTAAAAACATTGAAACTTCAGTTATTGGGTATACTTCATCACAGGAGTTATTTGAATTATTTCATAATTTACAAAAGGCAGTGCTAATGCGAAAATACCCATGTTTCATAGGGCACATATGGGCTCATACTAATCTTCCAGGACCCTTAGTTTCAGGTAATGACAAGATTGATAAATTAGTAACTTTTTGTCAACAGATGTCTTCATATGACTGTGCACTAGCTTCCCATTCCTTGCATCATCAAATGCTCCAGCTTATGTAAGCTCTTCTTTTCAACAATTTTGCCAAGAGTTTAAAATTAATCATAAAACAAAAATTCCTTATAACCTCCAAGGTCAAGCCATTGTGAAACAAGCTCATTTATCTATTAAGCTTCAATTACAAAAATTAAAGGGGGGGAATAGGTTTATGACTCCCCAAAATAGGAGCCCCTATCCAGAAGGAAGAGATATCGGAAAAGGATGAAGAAAGACCAGATTGACCCAGCCGAAAAGCTGATTTCATGTGAAGATGTGAAGAAGCTAACAACCCAGGCTTCCCAAATACTTCGACACCTAGGAGAGAACAGGACCCCAGTGATGATGGTAACAACAGTAATTGCCCTGTTGGGCTGTCAGGTAAAGGGAGATCAAGTAGACACTTACTGGACATATTTCCCAGATCCACCCCTGGTACACCCAGCTGTGTGGACTGGAGAATCTATTCCAGTATTTACTAATGACTCATTCATGATGGGAGGATTTACGGACACTCATATTACTCCCAATCATGTGACTAGATTTAATTATTCTGGCTACAGTGCCCAATTACCTTTGTGTTGGTCCCATGATAAACATGCTGGCTGTCTGAAAGTATCATTTGAAGAAAAGACAGCGATTGGTAGACCTAGACTGAGAAATAATTCTATTTATGGGGACTTAAGACCTATACTAGATCAGTAATTGAGATGGGACTTTCCCATAACAAGCCAGTCATTTCTGTAAAACCTCCACGGATACCCCACTGTCCAAATAGTTCTACAATTGAGATTGGCACCTTTCCTAGAAGGATGGATTGTGTGAATACCTTTCCTGTACAACATAAGGTGTCTAAAGATAGTGGGTATATTTTAGACTGGTCTCCAAAAATTGATAAGAGACAATTACGAAGAAATTCTGCTATGACACCTGCAGGATTTGTTAGTAATATTTTAACTTATAGTGAAGATGGTGTTCAAAAGGATGTTTGGCGTTTAATTGCTGCCTCAGAATTCTTACATTTTACAGACAAACCTTTACCAAAATTTGTTGGCAAGAACTGTAAAGAGGGATCTTGCTATGGCTTACAAGCCTGTGTCCAATCTCCTTATGTTTTAATTATTGGAAATGTAAAGGTTAAATGGATAGATGACAGATATTGTTACTTGTAATAAATGTAACCTAACCAATTGTATTACTAGGTATAATGGAGGAAAAGGAGTGCTGATACTACATCAGCCCTCTTTCGTTTTATTGCCTGCTAATATTTCAGAGCCATGGTATGCGGATACTGGTTTACAAGTCTTGCAGCAAATTCATGCCCAGTTAGCAAGACCTAAACGTGCTATTGGAGTTATAATTGTTGGTGTTTTGGCGCTAGTCTCCTTTATTGCCTCAACTGTCTCTGCGTCTCTGACATTGTCTCAAAATATTCAGCATGCAAAATTTCTTAATAATTTAGCTCAAAATACTTCCAAGGCTCTGCGTAATCAAGTAAGTATTGATGAAAGGATTGAAACTAAATTAAACGCCTTAGAGGCGACTGTTATAGACATAGGTAATGAACTTTCATCCTTAAAATTTAAGGAAAGGCTTAAATGCCATGCTAATTATAAATATGTTTGTGTTACAGATGCCAAGTACAATGCTTCTCTCTGGGATTGGGAGAAGGTTAAAAACCATTTGTTAGGTATTTGGCAAGATAGTAATAATAGCTTGTATATTCTGGAACTTCATCACCATATCCAAGACATTCAAAATAATAGAGCTGATTTTTCAGATCCTTCTTTGGCTAACCAAATATTGAAGGAGTTGAATGGATTCAACCCTGGAAATATTCTTAAACACTCGGCCTGGTACATTATTGGATTATTCTCTTTGCTGTTAATTCTCTTTTGTGTTGTAATCATAGGATGGCGAGTCTTCGGAACAAGAATACAGAAACTCCAAAGAGTGAACCGCCGCCTCATTTTTAAGAAAAGAAAGGGGGAATATGTGGAGAGCCATTCTCATGCTTGACTGGGTGACTCCCGGTTTGGGTCTGAGGTGTTCTGGCTGTGTCGGAACTTTCCCAGCCCTCTCCTGATGAGAGAACCCGTCCGTGTGGGGGTGTGACTGACCACCGACCCTGACCTTGGAGTGCGGCCCCCCCTCAACCTTCATTGCATGGAATTATCCCCTGAATTTCTTGTTCCCCAATAAAAGGCTACTCCCTGGCGTGCTCGCTCTCTCTCTCTCCTGCTAGCCCTGAGTAATCCTTGCTGCCCTACGGGTGGTTCGAGGTTGGAGCCAGAGAGGGGAGCCGTCTCGGACCTGGTCATAGAAAAAGGTAACTGAGTCTGTGTGTTTTATTTCGATCTCTGCTAGCTAACTTTTATGCCAAGAACCTCATTAATGAAACCAATGTGCAGGCCACATGGTGGAAGCCAGGACTTAAGTTGATATGCAAATAGAAGAAGCCTGGGGCTCAGTAGAGGACAGATCTGAGATCCAAAGGAAAAAAAAAGAAATAAAAGTGTCTTTTTACCTGAACTCAAACTAGACCAAACCAAAAAGTAAATTGTATGGTATTTACTAATTACTGGCCAGTCATCTTTTTTAGGACTCTTGCTTTTTCTTAGATTCTGTATTTTTTTTTTTGGAGCTCATGATTTTGATCCTGCAGATGGGTTGATGTTTTCTGATCAGTTCTATTTTTGATCAACTGTGGAGTTTTTAAACATTGCAATGGAGATTTCACCTGAAAAAAAAAAAAACAGCTACAAGGCCTTGTGTATATGTACACACTTGTGCTATGTGTTGTATGTCGGTATGTCTGTATGTGTGTATGTCCATATATCATGCAGTTATATGACAATTGGCAGGTATATGAGGAGTGCTCATAAAAAATTTAAAAAAAAATGGACCCAAATATCTTTGATTCACGTGATTCAAATGGTTCACTTTAAATTGGGTAAACAGATAAAAGTAAAGATGTCTTTAAAATTAAGCTTATAAGTTTTTCTAGGTGTTCAAAAAGGCCCTAATAAAATGTTGATGTCTATGAAATAATCTGCCTAAATTCAAACATTTACAAGTATTGTTTCAAAAGGTGAACAGAAGGAGGTTAACAGATGGAAAAGAGAAACTAGAAGGTACTAGGTATGGATTTAATAGAGGGAAAATGTGTTTCTGGATAAGAGAGTCTATGTGATTAAGTAATTAAGAGGGTTTAAGTAAGTGATAAAGAAGGTTTGTGTAAGTTGGTTATATGTGTAAGTTTTTGAGCAAATAATCTTAAAGAAATTAAAGATTATACAACTATGGTTAAACAACAACTGTTATTTTTCAATATTGTAATGTTATTTCTTTAAAAGCTAACCTTGGTTAATATAAAATCATCAATGTAATTGTGGTGTTATTAATATGTTCATATCTTCCAGGTATACAAGTCTGTAAGGTAGAAGCTTCAAAAGAGCATTATATCAAGCTGGTGTTCTAAAGTTGTATGGTAATTTTAGGCTTAAAAGAAAAACATGTTGGAGATTTATTTGTCATTTGTGTTCTATAACTGGACTTGTTATCAATAAGATATGTAAAGTTCCATGTTACTTTTTACACTGAGATAAAATTTAAATGTATTTTTAAGTTAATAAGAGCCTAACCTGTGTGAAGGTTTAATTGTAAAACACAAAAATACTTTGCTACTTTTCTACAAAAGGTTAAAAGCTTTCAGCCTTTCTTTAATTCATGTTTTAGGTGTGATATTATGTTGTGTTAGCTAATGTTCATGTAAACTTGAGCAACAATTTATGTAGACTTTGTAAAATGATGTCTAAAAAAACAAAGATTGGTTTCAGAACTACAATATTTAAGATTTATGAAGAGCCCTGCCTTACTTGAGATAAGGCTCTGTCCCATCTCACTACATGTGAAAGTGACTATGAAAGAAGTAGACCAGATTTCAGTACATTTAAAGTTGTGTCCAAAAGTTGGTTTTTGACATGATTACCAGGATCTCAAACAGGGGATTATAATGTATAACTCTGCCAAAATTCAAGGTAGCTATTACATAAACTGAATATGTTTTTACCTTAGTTAATTTTATTCTGTAGTTTTCTTATAGATGGTCTAAGGATTGCCTGTTAATGTTTCAAAGAGGTACTGCTTTAAGAACACACAACCTGGGTTAATTTAAGATAAGGAGTTATCACCTACAGGATAGAGAGATAGACATTAAAGCCCAGTGCTTTTAATGTAAGGCTGTTAACTTATTTGCTGGATGTTTAAGATTAAGTGTTAAAATTAAATTAAAAAGGGCCAAGAAAACCAATATTTGGCTCTTGCCCTCTGAGTCAGTCTGAATCAGGGAATTGGGGACTTCTCCAAAGAGCTTTGCAACTCTAGGCCACATAACCTCCTGAACAGGGAGATTAATGAGACCAGTAGAGGACAGAAAGCCAATCAGTGAATTTTCTGTGAAGAGGAGGGTCATCAGAAAAGGGAAACATCCCTGATGCTTCTAAGGGAAGCCATATGGTCAAGCAAGGCCTGGACCCATCCTAGCGCAAATGGCACTAGCAGAACTGAGAAGCTGCTGTAAGTTCCCTGAGGACTCCCAGGGAAACTCAGCTGACTGTTAACAATAGATAGAAACAAAAGTCAGTTTGACTTGCTTCATCTTAAGCACTTGGCAAAGACGGCTAAAGCCAAAACACAGCTATTCCTGGGCATTTTAAATGATAATAATAGTTATTCCATAAATAAGTAAACTGGAGGCTACAAAAGAGATTCTCAGACAGGAATGCCTGATAACTATCAAAAGAAACTGCCAGAGTAGTTTTTAGTTTATGGCCCACAGATATTCCTAACCTACACAGGTAGGCTTAATGTTTGCTAGTATGGTTATCCAGCCCTAAGTAACAGAATTAAAGATTTCTCTATTAGACACAGAGGTCATACTAGTAAAAGGATTTTGCAAGATCAGATGACATTAAATTATTAAACTGTATCTTAAGGAAAAGGACATCTGTAACTCTAAAAGTTAAATGTTGTTTTTACATCCCTGACATTTCTGGCAATGTGACAAATATACTTAAAGATTTACATGCTCAGATAGAAGCCATGTCCTCAGCAACTTTGTCATGGAAACAATATCTTAGCTCCTGGTTCTTGGTATTTCCTGGTGGAAAACATTGTTAGTCTTTGTCTTTGCCATCATACTCATTGGCATATTCCTGTGCTATGGCATTTATTGCTGCATCAATATGGTTCCAGTACTAATGAATTCTTGTTTCTCTTATAGACCACCCATCACTCAAATGGCCCTCCAGCCTATTACTTCTCAATCAGACTTTTATCATGGACCACTCGATAGATCTGATTTTTAAAGGGGGACTCCAAACTGCTTGCCCCACACCGTCCCTTATCAGCCTGAAGAAGCCAGAAAGATTTTCTTCGCCCCCCTTCCTTACAGCAGTAAGGAGTTCCCAAATTAGAGGAGGGGAATGAAGCCAGATTTAAAGTTAGGTAGTCAGTGTAGTTAGGTAAATCAGGGTCTAATACCGAGTGAAATCTAAAATGGAGGCCATGCTGAAAATGATTCCAGGAAACGCAGGACAACTCATGGTAATCAGACAGCAATATGCTCCACTGACAGAGCTGGAAAATGAGACTCCCCAATAATTGTGATTCATTACTTTTAAGATTAAAAGTAGTCAGAAAAAGGAGTGGGGAATGAAAGGGTAAAAGAAACTGAAGTTAAAGACCAGGCATTGTAAAGCTTCTAAGCTGCAAAGCCTGAGTTAAAATGTAAAAGACCAGGTATTGTTAAGTTCCTATGCTACACTCAAAACCTGAAATTCCTGTAGCTGTTAGGACAATTCACGGGACTGCCCAGTAGATATTCCCCCTGACCATTTAGTTGTTAAATAACCTGGGCCCTGTGCAGTTTGGCACATAGGCATTCAGGGCCCAAACCAATCAGTTTAAATGTGTACCCCGCTTTAGGACTAACCTACCACCCCCACCCGACCTGTTCCCGCCAATGAATGTACTAATCATGTTCGAGAGTTGTTGTTCGATTTTCCCGCGCCTCATGATGATTTGCTCTGATGTATGCAAAGCCCCCGCCCTCCCCAAAAAGTGTACTTAAGCACTGCTTAACCCCTGCTTGGGGCTCTTGGCCACTCTCCCTCCTTGAATGAGCACGGAGCCCCAGCATGCTGGATCCTCAATAACCCCCCTTTTGCGGTTGCATGAGTCAGTCTCTTGGTGGTCTCCTCCTCCGTCGTTTGCCGGACCCTTACAAAATGTAACTTGGCCGTGATTCTCATCACCAGGATCATTATCCTGTTGTCAGTTAAAAGTCAAGAGGTGGACCTGGGTGGAACTCTCTGGAAACTTCTATGGGACCCCCAATAAAACTGGGGTGCAAGAGAGGCACATTATCCACCTCCTCTTTGAGAGGACCCATTCTCTCCCTTAAGAGTGTCCCCTTTCCCTTTTCCTATCTGTTTAATAAAACTCAATCCTTGTTACTCTAATAGACATGTTTGAAATCTTTCCACCTTGATCTCAAGGATTGGGGTTTGAAGGGCAGGTAGGTCTTCGCACTGCCTCGGTTTTCCAGAAGTCCCCAGTTCTGTAATTCTACCACTGAGTTACATTTCTAGCCTTTTTATTTTTTATTTTGAGACAGGGTCTCACTAAGTTGTTCAGGTTGGCCTTCAACTTGTGATTCTCCTTCTTTAGCCTCTTAAGTAACTGGGATTACTGGTGTGTACCACTGTGCCTGGGTTGTTTTGCTACTTTTGTTTTTTATTTTTTTTTTAGTTGTAGATGGACACAATACCTTTACTTATTCATTTTTACATGGTGCTGAGGATCGAACCCAGTGCATCACACATGCTAGACAAGTGCTCCACCACTGAGCCACAACCCCAGCCCCTGTTTTGCTACTTTTTGTTTTTATTTTATTTTTTTTTTTAATTTTTTATTGTGGATTGTTCAAAACATTACAAATTTCTTGATATATCATATTCCACACTTTGTAATATTACTCTATTGAGATATAATTCACGAACCATAAAAATCCACTTTTAAAAGTGGTTTTTAGTATAATTTCAAAATTGTGCACTAATGTTGATCACCACTAATTCTGAAACATTTCATTAACCAAGAATAAATTTTATACCCATTTGTAGCCACTATTTCCCCCCCTTTTTTTTAGTCATAGATGGACAAAATAACTTCATTTTATTCATTAATTTTTATGTGGTGCTGAGGACGAACACAGTGCCTCATACGTGCAAGGCAAGCACTCCATCGCTGATCCACAAACCCAGCCCTCTCTCCCAGTCCTTGGCAGACCCTACTCTATTTTGTGTCTATGGATTTTCCTATTCTGCATATATCATATGAATGGAATCTTATAATATATGGCCTATTGTGTCTGATTTGTTTCACTTAGCATAATGTTTTCAAGGTTTGTCTGTAATGTAGAATACATCTAGGCCAGCATGGCTAAAGCAAAGTAAGCAAAATGACAAGATGAAGCTGGATGGCATAAAGGGGCCCGATTCTGTGCTTTGGAGTCAGATTCACTGACCCTGAAATTATAGCCTAGTCACTTATTAGCTGTGTGACTTGAAGTTACTTAACCTTCCTGTGTTACAGTCTTTATTACTCTTTATTTTTTATGACCTAATAATCATTGTGTTTATATATCACAATTTATTTATCTAATCATCAGTTAACAGACATATGGGTTGTTACTACTTTTTGGCTCTTATGAATAATACTGCCAAGAACATTTAGGTTTAAGTTTTTGTGTGAATGTATGTTTTTGGTTCTCTTGAATATATAAGCATTAGCATAGAATTACTTCATCCTATGGTAAATCTATATTTAACTTTTTTTTCCATGTACCCATACAAAAATATTTATTGAACAAATACGTTCGAAGAAGCAAACATAAAAAGAAAGAAGACTGATCCAGATAGTTGAAGTGCTGCTACAAAATAGGAAAATATGTGGGAGAATAATTTTTTTAAGATTTTATTTTTGAGACAGGTTCTTGCCAAGTTGCCCAGGCTAGCCTTGAATTTTGATACTCCTGCCTTAGCCTCCTGAGTAGCTGAGATTACAGGAATATGCCACCACACCTGCCATGTGAGAGGTTTCAAAGTGGTCAGGAATACCTCTCTGAGAAGGCCTTTATATGAACTTAACTGATGAGCTGACTGGCCATGCAATGACCTAAAAGAATAGCATTCTAGCCATATACAGTGGTGCACGCCTATAATCCCAATGACTCAGGAGACTAAGGCAGGAGGAATGCAAGAGGCCAGCTTCAGCAACTAAGTGATACCCTGTCTCAAAATAAAAATAAATAAATAAAATGAGTGGGGATGTAACTCAGTGGTAAAGCACCCTTGGGTTCAATCCCTAGTATATGTAAATCAATAAATCAGCATTTTAGATAGAAGAAGAGCCTGTGGTGGAGGGGGGAATCCTATGGAGAGAACAGGCTTTATACACTCAAGGAATAAAAAGGCCAGTATGGCTAAAGCAAAGTAAGCAAAATGACAAGATGAAGCTGGATGGCATAAAAGGGCCAGATTCTGTGCTTTGGAGTCAGATTCACTGACCCTGAATTATTGCCCAGTCACTTATTAGCTGTGTGACTTGGAGAAGTTACTTAACCTTCCTGTGTCTTGCTTTGTAAAAATGAGGTTAGCAATAGTTTCAACTTCCCAGGATAGTTGTGAAGACAACATCAGTTAATACATGCAAAGTATCTGGAGTAATAAGAACTTAATAAATGTGAGCATAGGCTATACAAAGGAGTTTGAATTGTAATTACAACAGGCAGTTATAAGGAGGCTTTCAGTCAGAAAAGACCTGAATTAACTGAAATTTAAACAAACAAACAAACAAACTGCTGTATAACAATAGATGAGACATTAAGAGTAGGGAATATATATTAGAAAGTTAAGAAATGGTTTTATCTGCAACATACTTTGGAGGAAGAGCAAAGAGGATTTGCTAATAATGTAGATGTGAGAAGCGAAGGGAAAAACAACATCAAACAAGAGAATGAGTCCCATGCTTCTGACCTAACTGGATGGCAATGGTATTCTCTCATGTGGGGGAGACTTCTAGACTTAGAGAAGAGGTTTAGAGGGAAGAGTCAAGGTTTGTTTTTCACAGGCAGTACTTGGGCATACTAGTATAAACCTCAGGGGAGAAATTAGGGCTAGTTTTGGGATCACTGGCCTATTTCTAATTTTTTCCCCCTATCTCTCCCAGAATATTGATATGATATGATACTCCCAGAGTATCACTATAGATCAAGTGATTTTTTTTGAAATTGCAAATAAAAAGTTCAATTTTAAAAACTGAATTTGTCATTTATATACAGTAAAGCATAGTCCACCCAAATTTAGGTTAAGTACAGGTACAGCATTTCAACAAAACAGCTTTCCTAAAAGGTCATAGGCAGATGAGTTATTCCTCTCACCCAGAACACTTATGATTTGAAATTAAAAAAAAATGAAACTTTTTCAGATGTTAAAGCAAAAACTTTGAAGACATATAGAACAAGTGCTTATACTCAATAAGTTGACTTGAAAATTCAAAATTCAGTATTAAAAAATTTGATGTACTTTCAGTATTTGTATCATTAAAGGAAAGAATTTTAGAAAATAAATGTTAAACTTCTACTATTGCATGCCTTACAATAAAGCAGAAAAAGAGGAAAACATCAAAAATTAAGAATCGAATTCATACCTATATCTTCTGTGTACAATTTATTGAAGAATGTTTAATGCCTCATTATACAAATGTCCCCCAACTATAAATGTGATTATATTTGACCTCTGACCTCAATGAATAATCTGTCCTGCTAGGAGATTGGGGAACTGTATTTTGCTCTCATAGTGATTAGTTTTTTTCATCTTGTTCTTGGTTTTAAATATTAAAGAGGGACTTTTTTTTATTTTTTACTTCTTCCTTTTCTTATATGTAGATGCTATCAATGTAACTATCAAGAGGACACTACTGGAGAGTTTTAGATTGGTTTGTATCAAAAAATTTTTATTATTCTTTTATATAGTTCAAGTGATTAGAAAGCTTAACATGGTCTAAGTATGTGCTGTCCCTGGTATTATAACTAACAGATAAATTTGCCTTGAGTTTTAAAAGTAGGATATAAATTTTAAAAAAAGAATAATCCCAGCGACTCGGGACACTGAGGCAGGAAGATTGCAAGTTCAAAGCCAGCCTCAGCAATTTAGCAAGGTCCTGTCTCAAAACAAACAAACAAACAAACAAAAACCCAGAATAAGCAGATAGAGCTAAAACTCATCCAAGAAGAACACATGTCCTTATCTTTTAAAATGATGATGCAGAAAAGTGACATTCAGTATGTAAAATTATCAGTATCTATTTTTATTCTATTGGCACTAGAGATTGAACCCAGGGCTACTCTACCATGGAACTACATCCTCAGCCCTTTTTATTTTATATTTTGAGACAGAGTCTTGCTAAGTTGCTGAGGCTGGCCTTGAACACGTGATCCTCCTGCCTTAGCCTCTCCAGTTTCTGGGATTACAGACATGCACCAAATCATTAATTTCTATTTAAGCTGAATCAAGAGAAATAACTATTATTAAGGAAATAACAAAATACTAAGAGATGTTACAACAAAGAAAAAGAAATATAAACTAAAGAAAAAAATGTTGAAAGTGCAAGTGAATTTACATTACTGGCTTCCTAATAAAATTAAGGACATTCCTGGCTTTATTATTTTTTTTAAATAAATATCTGTCTTCTGACCTATATGATTTGTTTCAAAAATGATCTTAGGCACATGTAATGAACTTTTTCATATCTTTCCTAAAGCAGTGACTCTTATGATTAAGAAGATCCTCTTTAGGCTGGGGATATAGTTCAGTTGGCAGAGGGCTTGCCTCACATGTGCAAGGCTCTAGGTTCAATCCCCAGCACCACCAAAGAAAAAAGAAGTTCTTCCTCTGCAATGGTAATTTTACATCCTTACAAGTTCCATGAGAATAGGGGTCATGCTTAGGTTTCATTATATTTCCCTTGCAACATCCATCACACAGAATTATGCATACAAAAATGGACTCAGTATAATATATAAAATCTCATTACAGTCAGCATTAACTGGACATCTGTAATTGCTTTTTTTTGCAGTTGATTTTGATGTTTGGGGACATCAACCCTGAGTCCCAATTAAATGAATTGTTATACCACCCAAAGTAATGCCATTCTTCTCATTAGTAGACTTGTAAAAAAATGTACTCCATCATGTTATGTTTTGAATTACAACAAAAATTTGTAGACATTTGAGCTGGATGCAATGGTACATACCTATAATCCCATGTACTTGGGAGATTGACACAGGAAGATCCAAAGTGTGAGACCAGCCTGGAAAACTCAGCAAAATAAAACATATAAATGGTTGGGAATGTAGCCTAGTGGGATAGTGCCCCTGCGTTCAATCCTCAGTACTGGGGGG